ATATATATATATATATATATATATATATATATATATATATATAAAATGGGGAGTGGTGACGCAGAGGTTAGAGAAGGTGGGCCTGTGATCGGAAGATCGCCGGTTCAAGCCCTGGTACCAACAACATCAAAAATGTGGGTGGGGTAGGTGAAGCACCCCCACCCTCATTCATCCCACCCTGGGCCCTTGAGCAAGGCCCTTAACCCCCACCATCTGCTCCTCTGGGTGTCCTAGATAGCAGCTCTCTGCTCCACACAGAGGGCTGTGGTAGCTCGGTGGTCTGTGGTTGCGTCAGGAAGGGCATCCGGCGTATAAATAACTGCCAAGTCTTCGTGCGACTTACTTCGCTGTGGCGACCCCTGACGCAGAGAGCAGCCAAAGGGGAAAAAAAAAAAAAACATATATATATACACGGCAGCACGGTGGCACAACTGGTAGAGCTGCTGCCTCTCAGCAAGCAGGTCCTTGGCTCAAACCCCGGTCCAGGGGCCTTTCTGGGTGGAGTTTGCATGTTCTCTCCGTGCATGCGTGGGTTTTCTCCGGGTGTTCCGGTTTCCCCCCACAGACCAAAAACATGCATGTTAGGCTGATTGGTAACTCTAAATTGTCCCTAGGTGTGAGATAGAGTGACAGTGTCAGCCAGCTCTCTACCTTTTTCTGCACGAGTCCAGCTGGGAAGCTCAGTACTCACCTCCTTCTCCAGGTGTGCAGTGGAGAGCATCCTGTGCTCCAGCATCAACATGTGGCATGGAGGCTGCACAGCTGCAGAAAGAAAAGCTTTGCAGAGAGTGGTGAAGGCTGCACAGAAGTCTATTGGAGTCAGTCTCCCCACCATCACAGACAGCTACACTTCCAGATACAAGATTAGGGTCACCTGCATCATGAAGGACCCCACTCACCCAGCACACACTTTTTGCCCCACTCCCTTCAGGCAGGAAGTTGAGCAGCATTATGTGTAAAACCACTAGACTGAGGAACAACTTCTACCCTGAGGCTGTTAGACTCATGAATCCCTAATCAGGATAATTACTGGAAAAAAAAAATCATTGTTACGCCAATGATTGTTGATATGTGTTGTTGACTATCCATGTTGCTGATCTCATGCTGCTGATTTATTTCATGCTGCTGTGTTCATTTGTACTCATCTGCTCACGCAGACTCTTGCTTGTGCTGCTGTTGTTTGGCGTATTGTTTTTGTACTACTACTCGCCAGTGCCCATGTCCAGCAATCACTGTGCGAGGGGCAGGGTACACCCAGGATGGGTTGCAAGTCCATCACAGGGACACATAGATACAAACGAGACAAACAAACATTCACTCTCTCACTCACATAGAGTGACCTATATTAGAGTGGAGGAAGGAGTACGCAGGTCAACTACATTCTGTGTAAAAGAAGGAACCTGAGGGAGATTGGAGACTAAGGTTGTGGCAGGGGGGAGCGTGGCCAGACAGCGTCGGATGGTTGTGTGAAGAATGACTGTGGTTGTGAAGAAGAGAAAAATAATAAAACCAGAGAAAACCAAATGG